TTGGGGTTTGGGTTTTAGAGTTTAGGGTTTGGGGTTTAGGGTGATCTAATGGGATAATGGAACCCTATATTGGGGTATATAGGGGGATACACAGGGGATGTATAGGGATAATGGAAAATGTACTGGAAACTACTATTTGGTGTGTTTAGGGTTTAGGGACTCAGGAAGCCTGTTGCAGCAAAAAGGGCTTAGGGATTAGCGTATAGGGTTTAAGGATTAGGGTGTGGTTGTGGGGATTAGTGTTAGGGATTAAGGTGTAGGATTTGGGGTGTACCCTAAACCTTAAACCCTAGACCTTTAGGGTTTAAGGTGGAGGGGTTACTCGGAGACTTTGGTTGAGGAAGTGGCAAGGCAAACTAAGTATCCCAGCAATAATTTAGGGGTTAGGGTTTAGGGTTTAGGGCTTCAAGTGGAAAATGACAGCACAGACACGGGTTACGTAGTGGCATATAGAGATGATGTGATGTAGAAGCCTGACAAGTTAGCAACATTGTGGTTCCAGGTTCCTTGGATAATTATGGTATACGGTAGAGTAGCACAAGTAGACCTCAGAATGATATTGGTAATTATGTAGCTTGTTGCCTTAAATTTTAGGCCATTGAATTTTGGTCTAAACTTTGGCCTTAATGAGCTACAGGTGTAGGTTTTTTTCGTGAGACGGAAGAATTTGAGGCTTCCCACACGCAAGCGATTGTTGTGATCTATGCACGGCCTCAAAATTGATAGCACGTGCGGCCACTACAGGGCATATTTAATAAAAGGATTTGGTAACCCCAAACCCCCCGAATTAGGACCCTATAACTGCCTATAACCCTCATATGATAGTCATAGGGCCCTAATTTTGGGGGTTGGGGTTACGAAGATCCTCTTATTGATATTATAGCTCTCCCTAGCCTCTTTTATGCTTGGGCTCTTTCTGCAAGAGAGGCAGATCGAACCTCGGTTTAGGGTTTAGGTTGGGTCATTCCCCCTCCCAGTAACTGTCCTTAGAGGGGCCTTATTAAGGGGGCTCTTATAACTCCTACAACCCATTGTGGTAACAGTTACTGTAAAAACTCTAAACCCTAAACCCTAAACCAAGGGGGAATGACCCCAGGTTTAGGGTTTAGGGGTTTATGTCTGCCGCCCTGGGCAGGAAGGCTCTAAGGGTTTAGGGTTTAGGGAATCCTCCAGTGACATTGCCCAAGTCCCTTGAGCCCTAAATTCTGAATCCCAAACCTTAGACCCTAACCCCTGAATCCCAAAGCCTAAGCCTTAAATCTCAAACCCTAAATCCTAAATCCCCCAGCCTTAACTTAAATCCCAAACCTTAAGCCCTGAGCCAAGGAATTTCACCTTCATGAGGCGGGAGCCTTTGCCAGAGGAGCTTTGGAAGACTGTGAAGCAGCCGTACGAGCACCTCACCTGAGTTCATGCTTACATTGTACTATAGCCTATTGTAGAATATTCTGGTATATTATGGTAAATTGTAATTGGTTTTTATAGCATGTTATGTCAATAAAAGCCTTCAGGGCTTCTGTTTTAGGGTTCAGGGTCAAATGTTTGGGGTTAAGGGAAAGGGGTTTGGGGATGAGGGCACAGTTTTTTAGTTTCAAGGAAACGGTTCAGGTTACCACCCACCCTTTCGTCTAGTCAGAGGCAAGAAGGGTGGGCTGTGCCTTTCCTCCTAGACCCTCCTAGTACCCATAGTTGGGGTTCTAGGGTCCTGAAAAGTGGGTGCTTAGAGTCTTCCAACTTAATAGAAGGTTTGTGGAAGGTCTACGTGCCTCGACTGTTGGCGACCAAGCCCCGACAAGCGCTGGTGTAAGACTTGCGTGGTCTTTAGGGTTTAAGGTTTAGGGTTGTTGGTAATTGGTGTTCAGGGCTACCGACCCCTGGTTTCAGTCGAAGGCTTGTCTCACGTTTGGAGGGCTTGCAATTAGCATTATCGAAACTACTGACGCAGTCATTGGAAATGACTATTGTGAAAGGAACGACAATGAGCAAGTTCCTGCTTCAGCAGCGAGCTGTGTTAGATATTGTAGGCCGTCAGCCTGGCCGCTTAATGCGTAACAGTAACAGCTACCGTGAGCTATGGCAGTAGCAGACATCTGTGGAGCTCCCTTACAGTAAGCAATGCCCTACCCCTAATGTTAATATGTTGGGCATTTGTCTAGGGGTTGGGAGTGTTAATTATCCAGGCAGGGGACATAGTCGGACTTCTCCAGGCCCAAACTCTCCATCACTACTCCCTCCCCCTGATAACCAAATCCTTCCCGTTGCCCAGTAGTACAAGGCGTCATAGAGTGCTTTCTCTGCCACGTTCAGTCCCATCTCTACAAACCATCAGAAAATTTTGTTTGGAGACGTTATCCTTCAAGAGGAGTTCGTTTGATACTTGGGATGCAGAAGGTAAACCATAAGCCGAAAACCCTAAGCCCTAAACCCTAGACCCTAACAACCTTAAACCCTAAGCCCTCTTTTCAGCCCGTTTGGAGGAACTCCCAGGACGTGCTATTAGACTCTACAGTCCCTTAAATCTAGAGTCCCCCTTAAGTAGATAGAATATGGGGTATTTGGGGATCTTCTTATACTATACCCAAAGCCATATTCTATCTACTTAAGGGGGACTATATTTGGGTCCTGATAAGGAGTTATAGGGCCGAATAGCCCATCCTAGTCCCATGTCAGGTACATCCCTTCGGCGCCCGCCGTGGCCGTGTCCAACCCAAAGACCAAGGATTTCGAAATTATCAGAACTTCCATGATGCCAGGCATCTTCACTTGAAGGTTTAGGGTTTAGGGATATTTAGGGTTTGAAGGCTTAGGGCTTAGGGATATTTAGGGTTTGCAGGTTTAGGGTTTTTGGGGTTTAGGGTGTAGGGACTTGAAGAAAAATGGGGGCTTCTTGATATGAGGGGTTCAAACTACCAAATAATATTTAGGATGTAGGGTTTAGGGTTATTGGCTTGTTAGCACTTTGGATAGTTCTTTGTTGGTCTGCTTTACTTACGTTAGGATTGTCAGAATTTCCATGATGCCAGGCATCCCAGCGTTAGGGGATGTTTAGGGTGTATGTTATGTAAGGTTTCGGATTTATGCTACATAGGGTTTAGGGTTGATGTTAGTCAGGGTTCTGATTTATGTTATGTAGGGTTTAGGGTTTATGTTAGTTAGGTAGGGTTTAGTGTTTCGTTATGTAGGGTAATTCAGGCGTTAGATTAAACATATGGTGTAGAGTTTATTGGAAGATGCTGATACTCATTGTTGCTGTGCGTACGTGTAGGATGCAGGCTTGGCGCAAAGGTGTCGTAGAAGAATGGATGCGCAAGTCGAAAAGCACAACCCGAACCCTAAACCCTAAGCCCCAACTAGACGGCCCTGCACAAGGTTGCTAGCAGGACCCACATACCAGTAGCCCATCCTAGTGTCAACCCCCGAAAACCCTAAACCCTTACCATTACACCTCAACCTTTGGGTCAGGGGGCTGATAAGGCCTGACCCTTAACTGAAAACCCTAAACCGCGTGGACCATCTTGGTGAGGTTGGGTACTGAACGTGTAGCAGACTGGAGAATTGCCTGTATTCCTAGGTGCCCCAGTGGCACCCTTCTTGATTTTATTTGGGGCTCTCCTGATTAAAGCTGAACACTAGGAAAAAGGGTACCCTTATTATCAAGGGGTTACTGGAGAACCTAGATTCAGGTCCTAGAGTCCTTGCATTATTTGTGGTAGAGGATACCTCAAATAGACCTCAAGATGATAGGGCTTGATGTTTCGGCTCTACATTAGGCGTTCTGAACGGACCTCGGATTCTGCCAGATTCCACTTTGTGCTAGAACCCTACACCTTAGATCGTACAGTTGACACTGATACTTCTGCATGACCTTAAGCTAAGTACCCTAAATCTTGGAAATTCTTGTGCTGCTGCACATTGAGGTCCTGCAGAGTTTTCGTATTAACAGTAGAACCTGACCAGGACGTCGTCCGGACTCTTGCCTGGCGATGTCTAGGCCATGCAAGGCAAACATCCCAGATACTGACATGAGGAGCTTCGGCAATGCCAACCCTCCAAATCTAGGACCCTATAGTTCTCATATGACTACAATCCCCACTGATCTAGTAGGAACATATGGAGCTTTGCCAAAAATATGGGGTACCTTCCTGCCAGTCCCCCAAAAAAAGGATTATAGTATTTGGGGGGTCTATGTTTGAGGTTCCCCCACCTAAAGCCCAAAGCCAACACTCCCCCCCCCCCCCTCACCCCGCTAAACCCCTTAAATCCTAAACACAAGATCTAAATCTGAGACCATAAAAACACCCTAATCAGGCCCAAACCAACCAAAAACTCTAAAAACCCTCAAACTCCTAAACCCAAGCCCTAAACCCATAAAAACTCCTCAGATCCCAACTTCCTCAGCAAAGGCATCCTCAAGACCCTGGCCAACAGCAAGCAGCTTCCTCCCCCTATCAAGCCCCTGGCCTCCTAATATGGGTTAGGGGGGGGTTTAGGGTTTGGGGTTTAGGGATTTAGGGTTTAGGGATCTCGAGATTTGGTAATTTAGGGTTTTAGGGTTCAGGGTTTACAGTTTAGGATTTGGATCAAGCCCCTGGCTCCTATCAAGGTTTCAGGAATATCATCATGGAAATGGGGTATATACGGGGATACGGGGATTACATAGGGATAATGGAAAAGAAAATGGAAACTGCTACTTAAAATTAGGGTTTAGGGTATTAGGGTTCAGGGTTTAAGGTTCGGGGTTTGGGGTTGAGCGTTTCAGGTTCAGGGTTGAGATTTTTGGGTTTGAGATGCGTTTAGGGTTAGGTTTGCAAGCTGATTGGTTTGGGATTTATGGGTGTAAAAAGAGCTTGAAAGGGTTCAGGCGCGCGCCTTTCTGTTGCAAGGCGCGCTTTTTTCGCGCCATCTCTAGAGGATGTCCCAGGGCTCTTTTCATTCTGGTGTCTTTAAAGTGCGGGCCCAGTATCCCTGCGGTGTGGTCAGACAATTCCGGGTGGTTACGCTTTAGCATAACCTAATTCCAGTAAGGAGACTGCATACCCCGTCTACGAGCCTGGGTTACTCTGCGAAAACCACATTATGAATCGGGTTGTCCTCATGTTTGGCGAATCGTGTAACATTTTATGCTGTGCAAGCATCAGGGACTCTGAGGGCCGTTGTGCTCTACGGGCTTCTGCTCATACATCCAGACTTGCGTAGAGTGTAGTGGCTGAGGGCTGACCTGGGACCTCCAGCGAAATCTAGACGCCTGAATAGTTTTGGGGTTTAGAGTTTAGGGTTTTAGGTATTACCATCATTCTGGTCCCCGTACCTCGATTCGATTTCAAAGATGAAATTGCTATTTCTCGATGCCTCTGCCGTATGTCCTGTCGGGTTTGGGTATGGTTTTTTGCCCACAATTCTTACTGCAGGACCTTCAAAAAGTTCTCATGGAGGATCCTGGTAGTATTCAGATTGAGGATGAAGGGTCATCTGCTTTCTTGGGGAAGGCTCCACCCTTGCCCACCCTAACCCAACACGAAACTCCAACATAAAAACTCCTTATAGCCCCTAAACCCTAAGCCCCTAAGCCGCTAAAGCCTAAACCCTAAACCCTAAGCCACTAAAGCCCAAACCCTAAACTCCTGTCTGAAAGGACAGTCGGCTCTATAGGGCCTTATGTAAGTGGGCATTTCTCGGCGTCGCTCCTAGGTAATCCCTAATAAGTTCCCTCAAATCTGCCTATAATCCCTCTATGTATGTGTGTTTGCATTTATACACACACATATAAACATATACATATAGACATACATACATACATTTACAATCACAAACACACACTTATGCGCGTTTATATGTGTATATATATATATGTATATACATCCCTAGGGCCCCTAGGGTGCACCATGAAGAGAAAATGCCCAGTGAGAAGGGTACATGGTGCTGACCTTCAGGTTTTGGGGATCCCGACGCTCGAGATCCCAAAGCTCTATCCCTGAGACCCTTAAAGTTTACAGTCCCCCTTAAGTAGATAGAATATGGGGTCCCAAAGCCATATTCCATCTACTTAAGGGGGACTATGAGCTTGAAGGAAACCATGCAGTAAAAGATGACCTGACATTTCAAACTTTAACCCCTCAACGTTGAATGAACCTCTAGACCTCAGAAGTCTACATCCTGCAAACTGGGTAGGCCCCTGGGATATTTGATATTTTCCCTAATGGCCTTAATAAGGGACCCTACATACTAATATTTTTCAGAGGGTTTTAGGGGCCAACCCAGGTAAACAATCGAAATGTCCAGGCTGTTCGAAGTCGGCGACGTGGTCATCCAGGAGCCCACCCGAGAGGTCGGCTGTAAGAGCCTTTGACACAGGGTTTAGGGTTTAGGGT